ATCTGTCTTAAATGAGTTTATGATAATGTGAACTGGATTCATCTGACTCAGGATAGAGATCAGTGGCAGGATCTTGTGAACTTGTACCTTAATTGTCTGTGACTGCTGTAACCATGTTTGACTCTACATGTGTTTGTGGATTACCACTTATCACACATGATTGTACCTTATTGTTATCATGTAACATCATTCCACAACCACAGCTCTTCAGTTTCTTCACTACTTTGTCCTGGTTCTCTGCATATTGCATTCCCATCTGTATCTTCCTGTGCATTAGAGCCCTCGTAAATACATTCCAGTTCTGTATGGATTGGTACAGACCCTTTGAAAATGTGGCACAGTCCAGATATTTGGGAATAACAGAAACAAATGAAAATTTCTTTTAGGAGGAAATTAAGAGGAGATTGAATTCGGATAATGTTTGCTACAATTCAGTCCAGAACCTTTTGTCTTTTCGTCTGCTGTCTAAAAACGTAAAATTAGAATATACAAAACTATAATATTGCCTGTGGTTCTGTATGGATGTGAAACTTTTTCTCTGACATCAGGGAATAAACATAGACTGAGGGTGTTTGAGAACGGTGCTGAGGAAAACATATGGACCAAAGGGGGATGAAGTGACAGGAGGTTGGAGAAAACTGCCTAATAAGGAGCTTCGTAACTTGTACTCTTCAACAAGTATAATTATAATGAACAGGTCAAGGAGGATGAGCCAGGCAGGGCATGTAGCACAAATGGGAGTGAGGAGAAATGCATATAGGAGTTTGGTAGGAGTGCCAGAAGGAAAGAGACCACTAGGAATACCAAGATGTGGGTGGGTGTAAAATATTAAAATAGATCTTAGATAGGATGGGTGGTATGGACAAACTGGCTCAGGATAGAGACCAGTGGAGGGCTCTTATGAACATGGTAATGAACTTTGGGTTCATTAAGAAAACTTAAAATATATTGCAGTCAGTTTTTTAAAATTTGTTTATGGTTATTTAACATCAATTTAAACAGATCACACTGTTTTGCATCGATGGTTGGACAGTCGTATAATCAGTTGAAAAGCATACAAGTATGTAAGGAAAGGCTCATGGTGCAAATTGACATACTGTAGTTGCATCTGCCTGGTGAGCCTGATGACGTTCACAAAATTCCTGAAATAATGAAACTTCTTATTTATTATGACCTCATGTCTTTTTCTTAACCATTTTGTTATTGAGAAAGAAACTAGTGAAATGTCACATTTGGAGCATGGCTTTGTATGGGGCTGAAACTTGGACACTTAGGGCAGTAGATCAGAAACACCTGGAAAGCTTCGAAATATGGTGTTGGAGAAGGATGGAGAAGATCAGTTAGACCGATTATGTGAGAACTGAAGAAGTGTTATTTAGAGTCAGTGAGCAGAGGAATGTCCTACACAAAATAAGAAAACGGAAGGCTAATTGGATTGGTAATATCTTACACAGTAACTGCCTTCTAAAAGAAGTTATTGAAGGAAAGATAGAGGGGTGGATAGAAGTGACCAGAAGACGAGGAAGAAGATGTAAGATGCTGGATGACCTTGGGGACAGAAGAGGATATTCTCATTTGAAGGAGAAAGCTCTAGATCACATCTAGTGGAGGAACTGTTTTGGAAGAGACTGTGGACCTGTCATCTGACAGATTACTGATGATGATTTGTTATTCACTACCATGGTGTTGCATCAGTACATGCTGATCATGTTCCCATGCCAGACCTAGTCGCGCATCTCCTGTCTCCTATAGTCTCACCCTGTTGGCTTCCAGAGCCCCTTTTGCCTGTATGTAATGCCATGTTGTATGCTTTGCTTGCTCTCTGCTTCTGCTGGTTCCTTGCTTGGCTTATTCTTCTGCCCTGAAAATGGAGGCAGCATGTTCCTCCAAAACATCATTTGTCTTTCACCAGACCACATGCCATTGTATCCCAGAAGACAGTGCACTTCATAACCACTGCAATGAGAACCTCAAATCCTACATAGCGCTATATCCCAGAAGACAGAACTCTTCACACCCACCGCTGTGAGAACCTCATATCGTACATGGCACAATATCCCAGAAGATAGAACTCTTCATAACCACGGCTGTGAGAACCTCAGATCCTACATAGCACTGTATCCCAGAAGACAGAATTCTTCATAACTATGTCTGTGAGAAATTCAGATCCTACACAGCACTATATCCCAGAAGACAGAACTCTTCATAACCACCACTGTGAGAAATNGCGAGAACCTCAGATCCTACACAGCGCTATATCCCAGAAGACAGTACTTTTCATAACCACCTCTGTGAGCACCTCAGATCCTACACGGCGCAATATCCCAGAAGATAGAACTCTTCATAACCACGGCTGTGAGAACCTCAGATCCTACATAGCACTGTATCCCAGAAGACAGAATTCTTCATAACTATGTCTGTGAGAAATTCAGATCCTACACATCACTATATTCCAGAAGACAGAACTCTTCATAACCACCACTGTGAGAAATTCAGATCTTACACAGTGCTATATCCCAGAAGACAGAACTCTTCATAACCACTGCTGTGAGAAACTCAGATCCTACACATTACTATATCCCAGAAGATAGAACTCTTCATAACCACTGCTGTGAGAAACTCAGATCCTACACATCACTATATCCCAGAAGACAGTACACTTCATAATCACCACTGTGAGAACCTCAGATCCTACATGGCGCTATATCCCAGAAGACAGAACTCTTCATAACCACCGCTGTGAGAAACTCAGATCCTACACATCACTATATCCCAGAAGATAGAACTCTTCATAACCACCGCTGTGAGAACCGCAGATCGTACACAGCACTATTTCCTAGAAGACAGAACTTTTCATAACCACCGCTGTGAGAACCTCCGATCCTACATGGCGCTATATTCCAGAAGACAGAACTCTTCATAACCACCGCTGTGATAACCTCAAATCCTATTTATACACAGTAGCACATAAAAAAAGATAAATTAAATTGTAACAATTTGATTTCTTTTCTATTCTTTTTATGTTCTGCCAGACAGGCTGGTATAACAGTAATATTCTAGACTTGGTTTCAGAAAGTGTTTGATTTTAATCTTTACTGCAACACTGGCTATCCTGACTGAGGTATTTTTCCAGTTTTCCTTCCTTCCTCCTTCCAATCAGTTACCACGAATACTTGTACTAGGACATGACCACGTCTTTCCAGATTCTTTCCCAGTCATCCAGTGCTATATATGGTCTCAGCACTGATTACATCATTAAATAACTAGGGATATATGTGTTTTCTTACTGTGGCATCATAACTTGTGTGGCAGATTGGTTGTGAAGTGGGGACAGTCAGGCTGTATTCTCAGGCTTCAGAGCGACCCCTTGCAACATTGGCAGGAACAGGTGATCCTTTTGGTGAAGGACCTCCCATTGTTTCACTTCAATGGTCTCGGTCCAAGCTCTTCATCTTCTTTGCCCTTGACTCCTTATCAAGGTAAGATACATGGATATTATTCTGACATTTATTCAGTTATCAAAGTGTGGTACCTAAGCTGTAAGTTTACAGAGTAAGATAAGTTCTATCTCTCAATTTGTACTAACTTTTATTGGCAGTGTTTTGGAGTACTGTAATTGTGCATGCCTGCAATCCATCTGGCTGACCATTGCATTTTTTCAATAATAGTACCACCACCCCAAAGTCTGAAATCTGACTGCCAGCCCCACAGTTCCTGTTCCTGGGTAATAAACATTAATTCAGGATCAGTTTGTTACATGTTTTTCATTAAAACTTGAATGTATCATTCTTCTCAGCACACACACAACTTATTACTGACAGCACTGTAATAAATGAAGAAATATATATATACAGTCAACTCTCGATTATCCGGGGGCGGATTAACCGGTTTGCGGCTTAACCGGGGCTTTTTTTTTTAAGTTTATATGTTGTTTAATATTCATTCACTTTTGTTTCACATGGTGAGTTTAACACTATTTTCGCACTAGTGTGAACCGAGCTCTGCATTATTTCGTCCCGTTATGCGAACACAATGTTCTAGGGTGGGGGTGAAAGAATGCAAGAATTTTTGGAAAGTTTCAAGGACAAATACACCGCCCCAGGTTATTTAACGGTACCATCTCAGTGTGAGAGTGCATTGTGAAAGTAAGTATCAGTTTCTTAATATAGATCTTCAAGTGCGTTAGCAAAATGTCGGGGTTTAAAAGGAAGCGTGTTGTGTTAAGTATTCAACAGAAACTTGAAATTATCAATCAGCTGGAAAAAGGAGCTGTAGTTAAACAATTAGCAATGCAATACGGTATTGGAGAA